TGGAAAACAAATAAATAACTTCAAGATGATTTCAAAGTTGGATTAAAATAAAACTGATTGAACTCTGTTAAAAGTTTGTCGCCAGATTTTACAAACATGGAGTAAAACAATTTAGTTGTCATGTTTTTGTGCCCTTCACGCAAAAAAATTATTAATTTGTTCATGTCGTTGCTATGGCTTACAAAGAGCAGGATATGGAATTATATTTGTTTACACAACAGGCTAATTGTCCCAGTATAGGTAAATTACCTTTTAAAGCCAGGTATTCGAAATAGTTTTTCATTACGTTTTCGAGTTAAATTTAACCTGTGTTACAAACAAGAAGTGGCAGCTGAAAGGTCTTGTAATTATCAGATAGAACATGGCAAAGCAAATAGCTTGCCATGTTGCTTATCTTTATAGTACATGTTAACACCATCTCGTGCAAAATGTTTCAGAACTTAAACGGTTTCGGATATATTTGGCGGAAATTTTTCGAGATAGAAAGAGTCGAAAGTACGTTTTATCGCGTTAAAAATTTGCGAAACGGCTGGTTAAATTTTTCTTTGTCTCAAAATTTTTTTACACGAGGTGGTGTTTACATCTTTTGGCGGGAAATTTCAAGGGAAGCCATTTTGAATTTTTTGTCCAAAAAGTTGTCAGGGGAAACGCTGTGCAAATGTTTTCAAATTTTCCCGCCAAAAGTCTTAGTATAAAGAGGGAACATTTTTTCTTGACACCTTTTTAATTGACGTAATCGAACATAGATTAATTAATTAAGATGAATAAAACTAATTGGAAGACAAAACACTTGTTGTTTATTGATTGAATATATATTAAGAGATAATAAAAAATGGAATGAAAGCTTTACATCTTGTTGTGTTTATTGACTTTTAATTACAACGAAGAGAGCAGACAATAAACAATTGAACTCATTGTCAATAAAACTACAATTGAGAGTAGTAGATAAGACTGACTAAATAAACTACTTTGAAAAAATTTTTTAAAAAAAACGGCGCATGCGTATTTTTGGCGCTCGTATTTTTTCTAAGTTTTTTGGCGGGAAAAATAAAAAATTAAACAGATGTTACTTACAGCAATTATAGCGAGAAATTTTTTTAAAAAAAAACGGCGCATGCGTATTTTTAGCGCCCGTATTTTTTCTAAGTTTTTTGGCGGGAAAATTAAAAATTTTTTTAACGGATGTCACTAGTAAAACAACTTGGAGACAAAATTCCGCATTAAGGTCTTGAACTTTACTGACATTTAGATTTTACAAACAAGTGGAAAACCCTTAACGCAAAGCCGTGTATACTCGACGACTGGTTTTCAAAGAGTCGAAGGAACATTTTTATCTGCTTTACTTTCTAAGTAATCTTGAAGTCTAGCTCATTTAGTCTTTCTTTGATGTAAACTTGTTTACAGAAACAGGTGAACAGTCCAGAGTTTTAAATAAATCAACAAGACAATTTTAGCTGCGATTGTTGTTGGGCTTTTAACACTGTTGTAAACTTGTTCTGACTGTTAATGGTCTAAAATTGGCGAGAAATGTTTTGGAAATGAGCAAGACAATTTTAATTGCAAGTGTTCACGTGTAATCTCTCTTGAAGTGAAAATCAGCTTATTTCGTTTTCTACCTGTGCTGTAAACTTCGGTTTTACTTGGTTGATAGTCTCGGCTCTTCGTTTCTCCTCGATTCTGACGTGAAGCTCCAAACGACCTTGGCAATCTGCAAGAAATAAAAATAAATAAATCAGTTATTACAATTATTCTGAAATTCTTTAAATACAGCCGAACGTAAGCTTTTCTCTTCTTAGGCGCCGAACTCTATCGACAAGATAAAAAATAATAAATTGAGGTCTAAAGGCTAGCGTCTGCATGGTTGTTAAAATCTTAATCCTCAGCTTAACAGCTGATTAATGAAAGTTCTTTTTGAAACCCGTCATTCAAACATGTAAGTACCACGTTCAATAAATAATAGCTAAGGCGACTGAAACTAAGGATGTTTTCCTACTGTTGCTGCCGATTACTGCCGATCGCTTTGAAAATCGAAAACGCGCACGCAGAATTTCCTTTTGCTCAGCGCATTTGCTGCGTGTCGATAAGAATGTATATTTAAAAAATAGAGTTGACCCCCTTATATTCCACACCAGTTAGGTACCATATTATTTTTGCTCTGAAAAATTATAGTCCTTTGCAAATTTCAGATCCGTGGGGAACACGAAACCTTCAAATTAATTGATCAGATGTCCGAGTTTATTCTCAGTAACAGGTGAATTAAAACTTGAAAAATATATCTGGAAAAAACTGTGATTGCACCAGTTTTGCGAACGGGAATTTTTCAAAAGACAAACGACTGAATATAAAGCTTATTAAAGTGATCGATTCATAACGTTTAGCAAAGAAAACTACGAATTTGTATCCTTCTCTACCGGAATTTTTACTTGATTTTCAGGTAAATTCTCGTTCGATGTTTGATGGCAAATAAGAACAGACTGGTCTTTCGTGGGAATCCCCCTTAAAAAAATGAAACTGCTCTATGCGGAAAAATAAGCGAAAGTCACTCTCAGATGACAATTTCATAGGCCCGTTATTCTAATTTAAGGCTGTAAAGCGTGTAAAACGATGGAAATACCTTACTAGGCGTTTTTGTTTCTCGTTACAAATTGATTAGTACAGATATGTTTTACGATGGAATCCCTAACCTTTGGTTACACTACATGTTAAGACCAGGTTGCTCAAACTAGTAGGATCAACTGAGCCGATTAACAAACCAACATTTGTCACAACTGCAAACTGAAAAACCGTTTTTGCTGTTTACTTGTGGTTTGGTTAATCTCGACTGAACTGAAAATAATCAGAAGTGAAAAACACCTTTTCAAAACGACAAATAACATAATCCTTGATTCGCGTTAGTCAGCTTCTGATCAACCAGGCCGGACCTACAACTTAGTTAATCAACGTACCTCTTTAACAAACGTTTTCAAGTTGTCCTTCTCTCCCGTGTGGCATTTGATGATTTCCAGCCTTTTCCATCCCATACACTTCACATCTGCATTGATAGAGACAAGCAACCAATTAATATATGCTGAACATGACTAATGAAATGTGAAAGTGACCTAACGAAAATATTGTAAGTAAGGTGTTTTGCTTGTATAAAAACGAAAATAACAGCACAATAATAACACATAAACCACGAGAGTGTATGGATTCGGATCGATTTGTACCAAAACTTGAGGGGAGGGATGTGAGGACGTGACAGTTTCTTTCCTAAAAAGGGGGGTTAACATTTTCCCACCCTTCGGGCCTTACTTTCTTCCAAAAATGGGGTCGAAACCCTGCAGTATTGCAACACGGCTCGTACTTTCTGGTTATTCATACTGGAAAAAATCGATACATAATGTTTGGTTTCCTGGGGTATCCTCAAGCAATTCTATGCTATTTTTTATTAAACAGCTAGACTCGATTCAAACGCAAAGCGAGAACGTAACGGATTTTAAGTTCTATTAATGTAAATGAATACCTTACACAGATGTAATTGTTAATTAGTAATGTACATAATTGTAGATAGATACAAGACCCCACAAGCAAACCTGTTGAAAATCACAAAATCGTGTTTAAATAAAGGATTGTCGTCGTTGTTGTTATTCTTCAATATATCTTGGGGAAAATAGGCATTGTACTCACCTATTGCTGTCACTGATTCAGAGAACACGAATGAAGCTCCTGGCAATGCTTGTAAGTCGTTCCATCGTCAGTGAATATCATCCCGAAACTGTCAAGAAAAATGCAATAAGAAAATACATCCCTTATGTTGGTTACGGAAGATAGAAAAGTGTGAGAGTTAGGAAATGAACAACACGGGTCTATACATTCTTGCAGTCTTTATTTCCAAAAAGTTAATTCTCCCTGCTGACTGTAAGAAATATCTTTTAAGATCGGTTCTGAGAATTCGATGTTACATCAAGATAATTTCCTCTTGTTAAAGATGTTATTTATTTTAAACAGAAAATGTTGTTGATCATGTTTTAGCAGTTAAACGGTAGGTACATACAAAGGGTGTTTGGGTAAAACAAAATTCAATCCAAATATTTCGAATGCAATCCAATTACTTGATCCAATCGTTTTATTTCCGATTTGAAGAAATCTTAACATCGAGAAATAATACAATAATAATATAACAGTCTACCAGAGCATGTAAAAACCCATAAGGTGTCATAACACAGATATAAGTATCCACAAACAGAGGTTGATATTACAGACGGCCACAGACCTATGCACTTATTAGCAGGCAGGGATAAGACTATTCAAGAACGGGGCATTACCCAGTACAATGCTCAAAACGTTCAACTATTTTCAAACACTTCACTAAGGCTTACAAGACAATTAAAACACTGACGACTAAAAAGTACAAAGATAATTTTAAAAGAATTTACTTAACGAAGAAGAGAATATTCAACAAGGTACATTCAATATTCATCGGTTGGCTTCTCGAGCGGTTCACAATGCTTGAAGGCGAACAGCTTACCTGAAATTTCACTTCTTGTTTCACACAACGTTGTCAGACGATCAAGCGTAAAGCGTTTCTTGCTTTTCCACGTCCTTATTTGTTCAAACTTTCCAACTAAGCGACCAGTAGAAACATACCCACACAACTTCAACTAAATTTAAGCAAACGTGGTCGTTGAAGAAGGAAAATTTTCGCACATGCACTAAACTGAATGCATTAATTCTGCATAATATTAAAGGTGCGATTCGATTGGTGAAATTTGAACTATGGCAAATTTGTGCATACCTATTCAAACTAGCCCCCGCGAAACGAAGGAACAATTTTCTTTTTTTTTTCTGGGAGAAATTGTTTGATTTACAACAAGATGCTTGATGGAAATGTTTGATCCATCGTTTAGCTGAGGTTGTAAATGTAAACTTGGAGGATGACAAAAAAACAACTAACAAAACAAAACAAAACAAAACAAAACAACAACAAAAATATGCGCAATATACAATGGCTCTGCCTGTGCGCTATACATCCTGGTACATTTCTCAGTCGTCCTTTTTAAAAACGAACAACAACAAAGGGAAACAAACAAAATAGCGGACGAAAAGTACGGAAAGAAGAAAGGAAGAGAAGCAATCACATGCTGTTTTTAATTAAAAAAAGTCACTTCTACCCATGTTCCCTCTCACTTCTTCTCTAATCTTTCTCATGGCCACCCAAGAATTATCTCCCTCTTCACACGACTCGTTTAGCAAGAACCAGAGAAGAGGAAAAGGCGGGGAATTTCCTGTTACGCTCCCTTGCACACTCGATCCAGTCTTCACACGGTCACTTCTCACGCGCGCGAACACAGTCGGCCACAGTTTCAGTCAAGGGAGTTGAATGAAATTTTAATGAAGTTTCGCCAAGCAACATGAAAATTACTCTTTATACTTGCTTATGTTCGATCTGATTGGGTGACAGGAAACCTAATTGTCTAATATTGCTTCATCGACGATGTAAGAAAACCAAGAGGACTGATTGTAGTCGGCTATGAAATGACCTGGCTTCGAATGGAAAGGAATTTCAAAATCTCATATACATCGAGTTACAGGCAACACTGCATGCACTTTGATTTAACACACTCAATTGATATCGAAGATTTGATTCGTTATAAAGCACTCTGTAAACCCGTCAAAGCTCAATACCATCATGGAAGACATTGACGTATTCGCTGGGGCTTTTCGTTATACCTGGGCTTGCACTGAAGTTGATCTTAAATGTAAACGTTTTTAAAAGCGAGCACGGCTGGCAAATAGTATGAGGAATGAAAATGAAGGCGAAAAACGTCCCCCNCCCCCCGCCCCCCATTTTCGGTCCTCGTTTCATTTGGTCTGCCGTATAGCGAGAAAAAAACAACAATTTTTTTTAACACAACGGATGCGTATATCTTTAATCTTCAAATAAATTTGATATAAACTTAATATCTTCATTTTCCTCTCTATACATCAGTGAAGAAATAAGTGGAAATATACTTAAAGTAAATAATTTTATGTACAGAAAATATACAAATATCAACTATCCTAAACGTAAATTACAATTCTTCCTCCCTCTTAAATTCATAACATTCCCCATCCACTGTTCCATTTGCGATAAATAAATAAAAAAGAAATGAAACAAAGTCCTGAACATATACATCAAGATTTCCACGTATGGTGAATATGTGGGTGTTGTCCGGGGGGAGGAGTGTAAGGGTGGGTGGGGGTCATCTGGGTGGGTTGTTGTTGTATCTCTTCTGAGCCATAAATCTGTGGTATTCTATCTGAGAGTCTAACTGCTCCAGTTCTTGCCTTGTACGTTCAGCAAGCTGGTGATTTCCAACTGCAATGAGAAATGTGCATGTCACGTTAACACACCGCGACTGGCATTTTGGTGGTCACGCAAAGCTACATTCAGTTTACAAGGTTCGTACGACATACATGTAACGTTCTTACGTCGCTTAAGTTTTTTTGGTCACGCAAAACTACATTTACAAGGGTCGTTTGACATAAATGTGACGCTGATGCACCGTGACAGACAATGAATGGCTTCAATCGTTATTGGTCAAACGACGCTACACTTACCACGTTTGAAGGAGGCGCTTATCTACAACTTATGATAACCCCCCCCCCCCCACCTCAAATAGAACTGTTTTTCTGCAGTCCTCTTTTGCTGACAACTTAGGCAATAAAACCTCGGTCCTTCTACTTTGTCCAGTAAGATGGCCTCAAGGACAGATTTCTCAATATTTCGTTATTTACAGCAACAAGACCACCAAATTGATTACAACAGAGTGCTTTTCTGTTTCGGTCGCTAATAGTGTGTTTTTTAAAACTAAAGTACACTAGTGTTATTGAGCTGGACAAACATTTGTCAAGCATCCATCTCATTCAATACACGTACCTAGTGCAGGGTCGTACGTTGAAGGAATGCCATTATCCACAGTCCACCCAGTGTTTGGATGGCCACCGTAACTTATCCCATCTATGTATGCGTTAGGCGGATTCACGTGTTCTACAGGGCCACTTTTGCGATTCATCTCATTGTTATGTGAATTCTTCCCTTCGTTTTCCTTGGTTTCTTTGGCTTTTTTTTCCTTTTGAGCGGCAAACATTCGAGCGTAGCTGTTAGCGGCTTTTTGAGGACGCTCGCTCACAGGAACCGATCTCTTCTTTCTGTTGATACATGAAAAATACGATACCAGAGTATTTCACAGTGAGATAAACGTGCAACAACTAAATAGTGTTATATAGTAGCAACGCCCCAAAATACAGGGATCTTAACGTGCATAAAATTTGTCAGGGAAAATTTGTCAAGGATGGTCAGTTTGCCCACCCTTGACAATGACACAAGCAATTCCGTGCAGAAATAATGCTGGGGGAAGAAGACCCGAGTGTTTAAATCCATACAATGGCGCACTGTGTTTGGAAAGTGTGACATGTCCTCGATAATTAACTCTTTGGCTATGTTAACCCTTTGAATACTAACTACGCATATATGCGTAATTAATGGTCGTGCTCTTTGTACCACTTGTGACGCCATCAATTTAAATGTCATCAGATATTCTTGAGAAGCAGATAGTAGTACTAGGCTAGGCCTTTCCGCACAATGGTCACGTTTAGATATCGACGACATTCCGACGTCGCAAATCGAAAAACAACGTTATCAGTTTTGGTGCAAAAACGGTGGTAAAATGGTCCACAACGCTTATGATTGATCAAGGTCCATTTCTAGGCTTCGCCCGTAATTAACATCCAACTTTTCACTGCAGCCAGAAAGAACATACATTGCAAAAGGTAGCCAGTGTGAAAGGGCCGAGAAAAACAGAAAGGAAAGGGCCAACAAACAAAATTGAGAACGGTTAATGGCAAAAAAAAAAGTCCAAATTTTGGCTTATGCGCATGCCCGGATTGAAGTTTTGCTCAATTTTGTATCTAATCCTCGAAAAATCTCTCCTTTTTGTCAAAAAAGCATTTTATGCCAAAACTTAGGCTTATTTAGCGTCATGGCAGCTAAAAAAACCTGACTAAACGGTTAAAAACGGTATTTTTTGGCGAAAGTTTGGTATTCAAGGGGTTAAGGAATTTTCCCTTCACCTACTTGCATAACCGAATATATCTTCAACTTATACGTTATCTTGATAGTAACGTTGAAGACAACAATCTGCTGAGAGTTATATCTGGTACTTACGTGCTAACTGTAGGTTTTGCCTTGTGTGAAGGGTCTGGGCCAGAGCGAGCCTGCGGTGCTTTATGGTGAAAGTTGTTGTTCGGCTCTACAAATGAATCAAATACAACATGAATAAGAGGAAGTGAGCAGCAATAGCAATGGAGTAAGATCTGAATCAAAGGATCTAGAATTTCGGAAACTCCTCGGTGTGACGCGAGAATTGCAGGATAATCGGAGAATAGCACTTGCAGGAGCGGCACAAAGATTTCCATCCAGAGGAGAGAGTATAAAAAAGACGTGAACTAAACGCAGCCCACTGAAATCGTGAAAATTTAACCAATGGATGATTGAAGTCGGGGAACAGATCAAGACCCTTCAGCCAAAATCCTTTTTTTTTTCTTTTTCTGCCAGTGAATTAACTAACAGTCCTAGCAAAGAAGTTGCTAAGCAACCTGAAGCAACATGACGTATCCCTATGACGTCAAGCTGGCGTAGCAAATTCACGGCTGAGCCTGTCCTTGGGCAAATTACAGATTGGATAACGGAAAGGAAATCGCAAAGGAAATCGTAAAAATTACCGAAGATTAACGAAGCTAAACCTGGGCGCATTTGTTCGATCAACTACTTGGTGAGGGACGACCTATGGGTTACAAGTTATTAGTAACATATCAAGTCCAGTTCTTACGAGGAGCCACTTCGCGATGGGGCACTTGAGTCTCCGGTATTTGCTGCCAGCCGCCCTGCCCAACAAAGTTTGGGTAAGGTCCGTTCTGAATTGGCGGGAATTTTGTGACTGAGTCTGACGTGGCGCGATGTCGATCCTTGGATTGCACTGAAACAGGAGTTAAAAAGAAAACATTTGAGACGTATACGTGGGCACTTGCCTTGAAAATGTTCAGTCACTTTTTTGGCAGACAATTACATTTAAGCTTACTGCGCTCGACTCCGGATCGAGCGGTCTGGGTTCGAGTTCTGGCGGGGACAATCTGCTGTGTTCTTGGGCAAGACACTTTACTCTCACAGTCCCTCTCTCCACCCAGGAGTATAAATGGGAACCGACGAATTTAACGCTGGGGGTAGCTCTGTAATGGATGAGCATCCCATCCGGGGGGGGGGGGGAGAAATGCTATAGAAAATGGGATAATCTCCGGCCTAATGAGCCACTTGGCTCGTATAGAGACTTTACCTTACATTTAAGACTAATCCTGTGATTTGTGTTTACTTATCGTTGCACAAATGGCTATGAAAATGACTTCTCTCTTACTTGGCAAAGAATTTCTTCTTTCTAGGCGGCTCGGTTCCGATGCGACTTGCGCGGGCTGTGAACCAGCAGAGTGGCCTGGGAAAGCGTTCATAAAACGCTCCTCTGGGAGTGAACCGGTTCGTTCAACACCTCTTAACGACTCCACACCAGATAAGGTCCTTAGGGACATCGGCGAAGATACGATCACCCTACATATGCAAAAAAGATTTTTATTTTACTTATTTCTAAAAATATTAAAAACAAACTGGCAAAGTTGACTAATATGAATAAGACAACTTGTTTTATACAATTGCAGGTTTAAGCAGAATTTCACTAATACTTGCAACAATTTCCTTCAAGAAAGGAGGCGGTGCTACGTGCATGAGCGAGCACAGTGTTTCCTTTATTGAAAGAAGACTTGCTTATGACATCGATAAAGTGAAGAATCCATTTAAAAAAGGCGGGAAGAAAAAAACAGAGAAAAAGTGAAGACTGTGTAGTGTGGTGAAAATTTTACTTCGGGTATCAGTAAATAAAATAAAACGTTATGTCAAAGCAACTCGTCTTTTTCAAGCTTTCATCACTGGATTAGTCTCTCGTAGAGTTTGTATGACAAGCAGGTATGAAAAAGCTTGGGCTGAAGTGACCTCTATTGAACTAACCTTTCTAACTCTTCTAGTTTCTTGGAAAGCCGATCATTTTCTCTTGACAAAACCTAACAATCGACGAAACAAAGAAGGTGATTGATGGCATCTCTGTTTTAGAAAAAAAAGCCCCGTGTCACAGCCAAGGCAGTGTCAAAATACATGCAGCTACTACTTACCATTTGTTGTCTCGAAACTTCTTCGCGACTTTGGACAAGTTCTACGTTTGTCGTTCTGAGAAGAAGAGAAAATGAGTTTTTTTTCCACAAAATAACACATACTCTATCTACGCTTTGTGAAGGGTTGACATAGCGAGACAAACGAGTAACAAACTGTGTACGTGTGAGAGAATTGCTTTACAAACACCGTAGTGTTTGCCATTTCAATAGAGCCAATATCTCTTTTACACCAATTGAACACGGTTTGGTAAGACAAAGTTTAAAAAAACCCGAAATGAAGTACCAGGACAGTGGAGTCTTAATGTTACGAGAAGGAAAGAAATGAGTGAGTGAGTGGATGGATGAAAGTGGAGGGATGGAGGGACGGAGGGACGGAGGGA